TCTGATAGCGCATCAAGAACCGGGTTGACCGGGTACTCGGTACCACCGGTACTTAAAAAAACCTGGTACCGTAACGTTTTCATTTTTTTAGTACCGACTTGGTACCGAAATACCGGGTCTTTTGACAACACTAGAATGTCCCCATAAAACATGGAAACACAACATGTGTGTGTGTGTATGTGTGTGTGTGTGTGTAAATATAATATTTATCACGTGGGGAAAAGCAATCAATCTACATTTTAATAATTTGTGATGGTGCTTTTTATATTGTGTGTAAACGATAAAGAGACTTGTTTTATGTTGAAAGCTTGTCATTTACCATCACCTCCTGGATGGGGCCTCATCAGTATCCTGGTCCACCTCACCCTGCTCCGCCTGCTCACCCTGAGCTTTGATGGACTTGGGGCAAAAGAAACAAGAGAAAAAAAGAGGCAAACCTCCGAAACCCCTCGTTTCCTACTTGCGTTTTCTGCCTCTTTTTCTTTGGATTCGCTCTCCCTCTCTCCTTCCCGCCTCCCTCACTGATAACCACAGGCGTTTCGTCAGGACGAGGGTGGATCTCCGCCGTGTGGTCGGTGGGTGTCAGTGTTGTACTGGGTTTGTTGTTTTGTACATTATTGTTGTTCAATAACCTTTCATGTGTGTGTCTGTCTTGATACTCAAGCAAAATCTCTTTTGGAGGAAACTGATATTTCCTTAAAATAAAATTGCCAATAACTTCCAAAATTAGCCCCTCCCGCATGGCGCCCCTTAGTACAAGGTAAATAATACAAAAAAAGCCCATAACCTATGACTATCTTACCATACATAACTAGATAACAATAACCAGTGAATGGTAAGGTTTTTTTTATGTCATGTAAGGCTTTCTATGCAAATAGACCTATCTAGCGAATCAGGAAGATTGTTGCTGGCTGGTGATTAAACTAGCTACTTCCTCATCAAAATACTATAAAAACATTTGGGCGGCTCATCAGTTGAACGCAGAGGTTTGTGGTATATTGACTGCAGTGCAGGAGCACTTATCACTGCAGAGCACTGATTAAAACATCATGCAGTTTGCCTGCATCACTTTTTTTCTCTTCACTTCTACCTTGACTTTAGGTAAGAGTTTTTACATGTTAAATAAAGCTGACTATATTTTGCATGACCATAGCAATTAAACTGAATCATTAAAACGCTTAATATTACTAAAAAGGATTAAGCTAGGAGTTAAATTAAGGTTTAATTTATACTTAAATAATTTTATAATGCATAATTTTTTTTAATTAAGACTTAAATAATAGACTTCAATGTATTTCTTTGCTTTAATATACCTCAAATTAGCTCTTCATTTTTTCGAAGGCAGTCGATTTCCTGGTGTTTCAAAGTCAAGTTGTTTCTATAAAACTACAAAATATTAGTTATTTAAATACTTTACATGCTCTGGCTTCTCTATAGGATGGGCAAGAAGTGTAGACCTTCAGCTCACAGAACCACAAACACCCAGCCTTTCCATGGTGAGTGACCAATGATTGAAAAACAACAACTTGCATGTACAGTAAAATGCTGATGAAAATAAATATTCTATGTGGATTAGTTCGTTTACACTGTTCATAAACTGAGAATGCTGCGACTACCTGATTACATAACCTACATTTTTGTGTATATTATAAACTACTGGCATACACTGTCTAAGTTAATTTATATAATTATATTTAATAGACTTTTAATTTCAATTTTTTTTAAACGAACGACCAGTTTTCGCTTTCGGGTCAACTACTTACGGTGGCTGTGAAGTGCAAAGCAAATCACAATTCTGAAAACAAAATAACAAATTACAAACGCAAATGCAAGTTTAAAAAACCAAATAACAATTCAGAAAGCACAACAACAATTCAGAAAACATTATAACAACTCAGAAAACACAATGACAAATTCGAAAACAAAATAACAAGTCAGAAAACACAACGACAAATCCGAAAACTTTTCGAATTTGTCATTGTGTTTTCTGACTTGTTATAATGTTTTCTGAATTGTTGTTGTGCTTTCTGAATTGTTATTTTGTTTTTTAGACTTGCATTTGCGTTTGTAATTAGTTATTTTGTTTTCAGAATTGTGATTTGCTTTGCACTTCACGGCCACCGTAACTACTTTTTGAAGAGATTACTGTAATACTGTTTTTTCCCCATGGAAAAAAAAGGTAAATTGAACATACTAGACTAGGGTGTAATCAACTGAATTTACAATTATTATTAATATTATTATTATTATTCACCAAAGGTATTATTTACTTATTTAAATATATGTAAATATGTTTGTTTGTCTATATAGAACCTAGTTGTTTCTGTTCATTTATCTTTATTTATTATTTGCAAGTGGCTGCTAACTTTATTTATTATGTTGCACAATAGCAGTGAAGGTCTTGCTAATAACATTACACATTATTCCTCATACAGGTACATGCTTGATCCAAATCTAAATAAATAACACATAAATCTGGAAAGCATCACATCAATAACATAGGTTCGGGTTCTACTGAGATTACTTCATCAGGTTCTACTCCACTAGGACAATTAGTAGATAAATTGTCAGTATGTTACATTTATTATCCTGTCTTATGAATACTATTTGTATAAGGTTGGTTGCAGGCTGCAGAATGCTATACTTATAAGGTAGGTTGCAGAGAATTGCAACTCTTGATAGATCATATCAACATCTGTGAACTGTGAAACTTAAAAGAAGATCTGAGAATATTTTACACTTCCTTCTTTCTAGTAAAGATAGATTTCTCTTTCACACATACAACCCTAAAATAGAGGTTATGGTTTTATGTTAGAAACAGTATCACATGGTATACACTATTCCTTTGCACATTTTACAGTGCAGCCAACAAACTAAGCACTGAAATGCATTCATATTGAAATTTGGTTAAATATCTAGTCAGGTTTTATTCATATTACATAAAATAGTCCACAAAATATAACTTTGATGACTGTAAGTCAACATGATATTCCACTGTCCTCATTCTTTAGATGAACATGTGCACCGATTGCAAGAAGATTGTACAGTTGTTGACAGAAATCCTCTCCAATCAAGACTCACAGGTGAAATTGTGATTGTGATGTTTACTAATACTTAGATTTCATTCATATTCATTGAATTTAATTGAACACTTTTGGTAAATCAGTGTTTAAGTCGTTTTAGTCCATACTTTGAATTATACCTTTTCTTTATTTTCTATATGCCAGACCTAGTAAATACCTCTTGTACAACGCAATCTCATGGCAATTCATATCTATTTTCTGTTTTAGAGTAGTGAAATTTGCAGTTGCATTATTTCCAAACTAAAAAGATAGTTTTGCTTTCTTATGGCAGTTAAGCCATGTGAGGTAGTGTTTGTCCCTGTAATAAGTTGCTTTGAATTGATGTTTCCACTGAATTACATTATTTAAGCTCATTGTTATGAATGATTTGGAGTTGTTTGTACAACGATCTTGATTGTTCCCTTTTCACAGCATCTCATTGAAAAAGCCCTGGACAAGTTTTGTTATGAACACCCCGTCATCCCTTTGTGTATGGATGGAGCAAAGACATACGTACATGTGATCATCAGACATTTCAGTGCATTTGCAGTGAGTACTTCTCAGTTTAACATCATGACAGTGGGTGGTTCTAGAAGCCAGAACAATTTTAGGGGTTTTATTTATTATATTAAACACTTGGCTGAATATAGCAGTGCTATCCGACTACAATGGAGATTTATCATCAAGATCTGACTTAATTTCTTTGCACCAAGAGCTTGTAACACTTCAAAGAGAAAGGAAAAATTGAAATCGCATCATATGACCCCTTTAAATCTAAATATCTAAAATATCTAAACATGAGTAATATATTTTTTTACATAAATAATAGAATCCATTCACTAAAAAACGGGATGTTTTTGCCCTCATCACAGAATCAAAATGGTGACATATGCACAGTGTTGAGACTGTGTGGCAGCCAGTCTAAGAGAAAAGCACCATCAGAGCTCACCGTTGGCCTGAATGAGCATGGTTTGCTCTATGCAAAACCCTCAAGAGGAACTAGTCAAGAGGTACGAGTTAGGTCAAAGTTTGTGTGTGTGTGTGTGTGTGTGTGTGTGTGTGTGTTTATGTATAAAAGATTTTGAGGATTTTTTTCCAACATCCACCATCAAATGGGATTGTTTCATTCCTTAAGTTGCTTGCACACTTGGAGACTAAAGATAAAAGTATCATGGCATGTCTGTCAATTGACTTAATGAAGCTGCTTAGGGGTGGACAATACAACCAAAATCTTAAACCGTAATATTTTAAACATGGCAGTGATACACATCACCTTAAACTTTTAAAAAGGGGGGTTTCGTAGCAAGGTTCTTTTGGTTTCCCAAAGAACCTTTAAGTGGGCAATTCTTAAAAGAAAATTTTTGAAGAACTTTTTAATCATCTTAAATAGCCTACCTTTTCCCACTATTAAGAACCTTTTGTGCAATGGAAAGTTTACATGGATGTTAAAGGTTCTTCATGGAACCATCAATGCCAATAAACAGAGCCGAGTAGATTACTTACAAATTGTAGTCCATCACTGGTTTTAGATTACATGATGAAAACTGTAGTTAGTAACGTAATCTAGGTTACTCGTTGTAGGTCATTTTTTCTGACTACTTTTAAGTTACTTTTAGATAATTTTTTATCTAACTTGTTTTAAACCTACCATTAAACATACCATATTGATATAAAAAACAAAGAGAAATAGGTCACACTTTATATTAGGTGGCCTTGACTACTATGTACTTACAGTACATCAAAAAATAAGTACAATGTACTTATTGTGTTCATATTGTATTGCAAAACACTTTTGCATTGAGGTGGGATACGGGTAAGGTTAGGGACAGGTTTGGTGGTATGGGTAGGTTTAAGGGTGGGTTAAGATTAAGTGTCCCTTTGGCTCAGTGGTAGAGCATTGTGTTAGCAGTGCAAAAGGTTGTGGGTTCAATTCCCAGGGAACACACATACTGGTAAAAAATGTGTAGCCTGAATGCACTGTAAGTTGCTTTGCTTCTGTTAAATGTGTAAATTATTATAATTAATTATTAAATTCATGTGTAAGGGATGGTAATTATAAATCTAATTACAGAAATTAATTACAGATGTAATTACATATAGGTATTTTTAAAAATATAAGTACAATGTAAAAACATGTATGTACACAATAAGTGCATTGTACCAAATGATTAATTTAACTGTAAGTACATAGTATTTAAGGCCACCTAATATAAAGTGGGACCGAGAAATAATATACATTCAATTTTTTTTATATCAGCATCATAAAATGCATTAAACATTCCATTAAACCAGGGTTTGCCAAACTGGGCTGTAAGAACTGCAGTGGGTTTGTGAGTAAATAAAAAGCTCATGATTGATTAGATCATAAAAATGTAAAGTAAATCATTTTAACACTTGAACAATAAAAATATAAATATTTAATTTGTATTACCTGCATGTCAGTGTGACCATTAAGCACCCTCCAACTGCAAACAATGCAAATGTGTTGTTAATTTGAAATATGAACTTCCTCAGAGATAGTTCAAGTTAATATTTCAAGTCAGAGGGGTTTAGCTGACAAAAATCATTTGGGAATCCCCGAATAACATTAACAAACATTAATAAACATGAAAACAATGACATTAGATGCCCAAAGTATTTCAGGTTTGAAATCTTGTTGTCCAGAATCAACAGTTACTGAAGGTTACTGCATATGAAGACATATTGTTTCACAGCTATACATCACCAGTGTTTTACTTGCATAATTATTTGTTTCACACACACAGTCTAATTGCTTAAGAGGAAGCAATGTATTACAAAATTATTTACATGATAATTCTATATTATGAATATAGTCAGCGCTAAATGGTATGACACAGTAGGATCTTTTCAGAGGAAATTTCCAAAGAGAAAATGGAGAATCAATAAATTATGAATGATTTACTGCCATTGTGGGAATAATATGTAATCATGTAATCCATAACAAGTAACTGTAATCTGATTATGAGCATTATAAAATATAATATACTGTTATGAGTACTTGATTTTTGGAATCTAATTACGTAATCCAGATTACATGCAATCCTTACCCAGCTCTGAAAAGCGTTTATTTTAAGAGTGTATAGTACTTCTATAATCTGAAATATGTTTGTCACTACACCAAATGTTATTAATTGAAAACAAAACCATGCAAATGTCATTATACTCAATATTACTGCGTAAAAAAATGTATTACATGTATAACCAATTTTACCCACATACATACCGTACACTGAAATGAAAGGCGATAATTACTATAGCAGATCTCATCTGGTTGGTCATTTATATCATCGCTAACAGTAAACTATTCTATCGCTCAGCTCTAAACTGCTATTTATAGCAGGTTAGAGCTTAAAGGGTTAGTTCACCCAAAAATGAAAATTAGCCCATAAATTACTCACCCTCAAGTCATCCTAGGTGTATATGACTTTCTTCTTTCAGACGAATCCAGTCAGAGTTATATTAAAAATTGTCTTTGATCTTTCAAGCTGTTTAATGCCACTCAGCGGGTGTTGCATGCATCAGTCCAAAAGAAGTCAAATAAAAAGCGCCCATCCATAAAAAAAAATGTCTCACACGGCTCCGGGGGGTGAACAAAGGCATCCTGTAGCGAATCGATGCGTTTTTGTAAAAAAAATATCCATATTCTAAACATAATAATCACTTTAATGTAGCTTGCGCCAACAGTTGTACACGGAAGCAGTTCCGGGCTGATGAGGTATGTAGCCTACTGATAATTTGTTGCCAGGACATTATCTATTAATTTTATGGAATTCAATTTTCGTTAACCTTAAAATACAAAGCAATGGTGTGCAAAATTCAAAATACAATTTGCAAAATAGAACCTGCTTTTTTTTTAATTGCTTTCACATTATTTGCACACACGCTGTTGTCAAAGACTTTAGATATTCAAAGACAGTGCACTTCTGTTACTTGAATGAATGGGAGAAAGTGCAAAGCACAATATGGCAGAATAGTTCCGCCTTCTGAATAAAAGAGCCAATCGCTTATTGGTAAAGTCATCGCGTCACTCCAGCTGTTAGAAGCTCCGGTTGTTGTAGAAACAATCAGAATTGAACTTTTTAAAATGCTATTTGAGCATTAAAAACAACATTTGTGATGCAGTTGTTGTCAGATTTCCCTATTGATTTCAAATATGAAATTTAATCGTAAGCTTGGAGAACAGCTTTGGAGAATTTTTGGTTTTGATTTGGTTTCTCTATTCAAAGAGATAGGAGCTTGCATGAAATAGCTGCCTTAGGCTAATGATACACGGGGCAACTTTTTTTGAGCAATTTTTCTTGGGCACTTTCCCATCGAGAATGGGTAACAAATTTCAATCTGGATACTTTAGATCAGTCGTGGGCCCTGTGTCTCACCTGGTTGCCTGTTGACGGCAACATTAACCAAAGTTGCCCCCTGTATCATCAGCCTTAGAGGTGTTTCAAAGATGGCTGCCGAGTAAAATGACTTTCCTTAAAGGGACTTTGCTGTTGTGTTCGCATGGACTCACAAATCAGGCTGCATGCAGCTACTGTGTGCATGGACATTAACAGACTGTGCTGATGACAAAAAATACAAAGAGCAAAACAGTCATTGTGACTATAATAGGTGGTACTGAATTTGAATGGTATTCTGACTTGGTGCTTGCCGTGGAAAAGTTTTTCTCAGACCAGAACTAATTGGAGAATCATTCTTTCTGTGTGTAAATTACTCTGAGATCATTCTTAATATGAATTTTATGTGTCCTCTCTAGTATCAGACTGTGAGTCCTGTAAGATACTTGCAGTCCTCTCCCGGTTTCATTTGGGTCACAATGCCACTGAGATCCAGACCTCTGACCTGCTCCAGAAGATGTGCCACCTCCACCCTAATGCTATTCCTCGAGTAATGATCACAATACATTATGAAAATCCTTGTTCTCACTGCATAGTACTATATGCACTTACATAAAACTGTTTGGTAGAATGCACTAATGTTTATATTGTATTGCAAAACACTTGTCACTATCAGGTTAGGTCAACAACGTAATTATAGATGTAATTAAAGAAACTGCATATGTAGTTGCATATGCAATTACATAGAGGCATTTTAAAACTAAGTACAATGTGAAAAATGCTTGTACACGATGCATTGTATTAAATTATTAATTTTAATGTTAGCACACAGTTAGAGACACGTGAAGTGGGACCAAATTCTTTTAAATATCTATATGATTTGAGCAATGAAGGATATATTGAAAGCTCTTTCAGTATTTGAATTGACACATGTGAAGTACTCAAAGACTATCTGACACAATCTCCTGCAGTGATGTACAATAAAATGCAATGGTCTGACTCTTTGGAGTGTTTCTCCTTGTTCTCTCCTAGTGTGAAGGGTTCGTGAAGCTGCATGGCCACAGGCTCCTGAAGAGCGATGGGAAACAACCAGCCCTTACTGCATGTGAGGTAATAACTCTCATTTTAATTAACTTTACTTTGGGGCTGTTGAACACTTCGTGTGTTCTAGGTGGACTGGAGAGATTCAGACATGAGTAACACTTTTTTTGTGTTGTCAACAGGAAGATTACCTTTGCAAGGGACCCAAATGAAAGTGATCGTTCGAGCAAGACTCAAAGATCAGAAAAGCAACAACTTTTTACTGTACTTAACCAAGCTTTTTCTATCCACTCCCCTTGCCACACATAAAATCAAGTGAAATTTGAGACATACAGTAAATGTGGAGACAATGACTGTTCAATCAGTTTCAAATAACCTTCATGTGCCAATTTGTATTTAATGTACCTGTACTTAACTACTTCCTATCAATTATGTTATTATGTTTCTGTATTTCCATACTCTGAACCTCACCGAGTAAACATTAAACTAGTCAACTTAACATAGGAAATCCTAAAGTAGCTTGCATTTAGTGTAAGATTATATAAAATAATTATTTCCTCACATTTATGTTAAAATGACAAGAAATAAACTGTACAGATTAATATTTTGAGGCATTGTACGCAGCTGATTGAGAGAAAACGGAATGACATTTCTGTTTGTCAATTCAAATGAAGGCCTTAATAATCTTCTCTAATATACCTGAAAACATTTAATAAATCTCTCAAAAAAAAGGTAGAATACCAGAATTAATCTGATACAGAATATCAGATGAATTCTATTCATTTCACCAACAAAACCATACATGTTTCTTTTCAATTTCCATTGCATTTCAATTTAGAACAACTCTAGAACAAACGCAACATCAGATATGTTCTACTTTAATTTTGGAGGCTTCAGTCTAGCTTATTATTCACAATACATGTTTTCTAAAGAGCTGAATGAAAGACACTGTATACAGTCTTAAAAACTTTAATAAAAGGTCTCATCCTACAAACTACCAAACATCACAGGCAAAGGAACAGTCGCAATCAAACTGAAATAATTAAAAAAAGGTCACAGCAGAACACAGAAATGTGTTATGTTCACCTTACAGACTTTTTAGCAGTTACATGAAATTGAACACATCAGGGTTTCCATTTAATGTCTTCTCTCATTGTAACTCAGTCTCTTCATTCTTAAAGCCTTGGTGTGCATTCAGGCCTTAACAGAAATTACTCATTTCATTTACATCTCACCAATGCTGTGTTTTTGCCCTATGCCCCTGTATGGCTTTCTGCTCCCTCGTCTTTATCTTGTCTCTTCCAAATCTGCAAAAGAAGAATCTGGTGAAATAAGGCTGGGTGATGATGCCTCAAAAACATCAACTTTCTATGATTTAGGAGATCTTTAAGACATAATACAGGGTTTCTGCAGCTCTTAAAAAGTCTTTATTTACCTTTCCACAAATCAAGGCTTTGAAAAGGTCTTTAATCGGAGCAGAAAGTCTTAAATTCATAAAGTCATGACATTAAATGTTGTAAGCACCGTAAAAAATTTAATATCCTTCCTCTGTATTTTGGTCTCGTTTTCCCAATAAAATTTACACTAAGTGCAAATATCCTGCCTTGTTGGCAGAGGCTATTTACACTAACTCCGCCCACCAATGTGTGATTGGGCTATTCAACACTATAAAAGACAATCCTCCAACAACAGCTCCAGTGGAACAGATGGTAAAGCACATGCTTTTTGATGCAACCGACCCAAGTTCGAAACCACTTTTTGTCTCCCGTTTCAAATCTCATATCACATCGGGAAGGCATTTATTTTCAATAAAATTATGTAAATAAAAAGTTGAAAATAAAGTATTGGGTAGGGTTAGGGTAGGTGTAGTGAGGGCTTTATTGTCCCAATGAGGTGGCATCCATTTAATAATTTGAATTGAAATTATAATTTACATTCAATGCATCATTTTTTTTTTCTGTTTTAGGTGCAGATAATTGCCACTATTTGCAATAAGTAGTATAAATAGCAGAAAATCCTGCTATTTTAACAGTGTAAATAGAATCTATAGCTATTTGCACTTAGTGTAAATATCATATCGCTAAAAAATACTGCTATTTTCACTTAGTCCATTGCTAGTGCAAATAGCCACTGCCATAAAATGTTCATTTAGTTAAATGATGTAGTAAAAAAGTAAAACACACCGAAATCATTTTTTTTTTATAAAAACTATATATTTACTAAAATGTACATATTTAATAATATACATATTACATAATACATATTTATTTACATATGTAAAAATTACAAAAACCGCAAATTTAACTAATTAAAAAACTCAAAATATAAACATCTAAAATATGAATTAAAAACTAATTTAAAAAAAATATTAAGTGACTAATATTTAGTTAGTTACTCAGTGACTAAACTAACACTGGTTGGAAGGTGTCTTCAAACCTGAAGTGTTGCTAATGCAACTTCACTGTGTAGACATCTGCATTTAAAGAACATATTAAAGTATTGAGTTTCCTTCAATTGATTCCTTTCTTAAAAAGGTCTTACATTTTTTTATTTACCTTCATTAAACCTGTAGAAACCCTGTGATACATAGATAAAAAAAACTATTTTGGATAGCAACAACTACAGTACCCATATGATTTAATAAGATTAGGTCCACAACAGTACTTCAGTTAAAATATTTCCTCAAAATGCATAAAAATAAGGAAATAGAAAGTGTGCATTATTAATTAACAGACAGTTTGTAGAGTCAAGAAGAAAGAGGGAACCAGTACTTCTGATAATCGACCAGTGCTGAAAATAACAAAAAAGGGTTCTTATGTTTAAAAGGAAGCTAATTTTTCATTGGGTTTTTTTGCTCGTGAAGGATGACTTGTGAATCATGGGTCTTGCAGCTGCTGCATGACCAAAACATCAAAAGCTAGCAAACCAAATCAGGTTTCTGCCAACAAAACTACAATTTTCATGTAATACCCACTTATTGATAGACATCACTCTCAGCCACCCTCATCAACTTAGCGAATGACAAATGTGAGTAATGAGCAGCAAACCTGAATGTACGCCTCTGAGAGCGTGATCATCTGTGGAAGGATATCAATCACTTGCAGGTCCTGAAGCTCGTACCACTTCCCCGTGCCCTGTCAAACATCACAAACCACCCATATTATACAAACCATCCCAATAACAGTACTGCCACGCTCTGAATGGAATCAAGTGCTGGTGACACACTCACATGATGCAGAACATGAATCCTGTAGGACCCTTCGGTGGGTTTTCCATCGTGAACTATATTGGCCACCAGGTCGTAGGTGGTGATCTTCTCTGTGACCTGCGCCTCTTCTGTCAGGTACTCGCGCAAATCAACATTCCTATTGTGCATGAATGTTTTCACAGCAAGAATATTTAAAAATACATTTACAGAGAATATAGAAATGTCTAGAAGAGTGTGAATTAATTTATCCTTAGCACTGGTGGTCACATACGTGATAGGGAAGTTGACAATAGTTGGGTTCTTCTCCACAAAGAAGTTGTTCTTTGTGAATCGCTTGATGCAGAAGACGAGGTACGGAGGAAGTTTGGTGAGCTGGAACCTTTTCAGAAAGTTCTCTTTGTATGTCTTGTACTCCTGTGACAAAGTCAAAGGTAATCATTTATAAAATAATATAATGCATATTAACCAATATCAAGCATTTTGCCTTTGTCTCTACAAAGAAGTACATGTGCCATTCAAAATGTTGAGTGGATAAAGAAAATAAATAACCTAACAAATTATATTATACAAGCAAACCAAAAAAAAAAGAATGTGAAAATGAATTCACACCTTCTCATTGCTTCCGTTGAACTTGGCCAGGATGTTGAAGAGAGGAACCTGAGGAATGATGAGCTGCTCCTTCTCATCTTTGTAGAGAGGTGCGGTGGGCAGATCCAGCGTCAGGTACAGGAAGGTGGACTCAGACATCTTCTCCTGGTACTCGTCCTTAAGCAGAAGGGCTTCTTTCTCTTCTGCAGGCTGTAAGAAACAAGCACGGAAACTTATAGCATTTCTCGAAATACTGATTTTTTGGATGCTAGCACAAGTGTCACTGTTCCTAAGGTGCTGTCAATCCCAAAAAATAACAAAGAAAGGCTTTCTAAACTGCTTAAATGGTTTAAGCACAAATCAGACAATTTTTAATGTAAGAAACACCTACCAAATCTGGATGAGGAAGCTTCTTTGAGAAGATTCGCATGGACCCCTGAAATACCTTGGTGATGATGGCTGTAAAAAAATAAATAAAAAAAACCCAACTGAGCTGATTTCATCCTGTACTTATGAAGATACACCTCAGAACATGAACTAGCACACAAACACACACCTCTTAAAAATCTACATCAAAACAAAACTCACAAGTTTTCTTCTTTGTCCCACCAAGAGCACCATGCAATGCATTGAGAAACCAGGACAGAAAGTCAACAGCATCCCCTAGAGGGCAAAAAGCACAACATCAGGTTAACATTAGTCTCGCATAGCCAGACCATAGACTGTAAAAAACCATGGACGTAGTGTCCGTGACGTCACTCGTAGTTTTCCGAAGTGCATTTTTGAAGCCTAAAGTGGGCGGAACTGACCGTCGCCATCTTGGCAGCGCGTCACTCCCGGATAATCGAAAATGGGCAAAAAGGCGGGACGTGGGTAAAGCTGAGGTGCCTGGTTGCTGAAACCACGCCCGTCTATAGTGACAGCACTGCTGCCGTGCAAAGACAAAACACCATAACTTCGTTTTCGGTCAAAAATGAGTTATTGATCATTTTGGGACATATATGACCTCCTTTATCATGTGTATAAGTATCTTGGAGAAAAGCCCTGGAGAAACCAAGGCAGAACACAGTATCATCAGTTACCTCTCTTTGACTTCGTTTTAGAACGCTCAAATTAAGTTACGGTGCTCTGCATTTATTTAGCCGTTCGTCAATATTACTGTGCCAGCCTGGAGTTATACGGTATTCAGTCTAGGGCTACCCACTTCTGCACGTGTCGAATGCCATGACAGAATATCACATAAAATCAGTAACTGTTCGCAATTAAATCTGTTTCCTACCATTTCTTGTAACTCTATAAAAACCATTGCAATGAACGTCATTGGAGATGAATTGCCAGATTTCCAGTGTCCTACCCATAATTAATTTTTCTGGACAAATAAAAATCTTTAACACCATTTTTCTAAGTTTCACAGTCTAGCGAGTTTCACTCTCTGGAGCAGAGCGGCAATCCACCTGTCGCTCAAGTGGCCACGCCCTTAATTATGCAGAACTTTAAGGCTTAATAACTCTCGGACGTATTTTAAAGATTCTATGCCGCGAACTTTAAATATTTCACATACTTTTGAAAATCCAGCGTATAGTTGATCATGATAAGCGCTCATTGTCACAGTTGTAAACACGATGGCTTTCTTCTTTCGTGAGGGGGTTTGGCGCCACGGCATCTTTGTTTCCAGGCGGAACGTTAAAGAACGAGACACACACGTCTCCCGGGAAATCCTGTATAATTCAACCAATCCAATGACGACTTCGAAACTTAACATGCACAAGTTCCTGTCTAATAAGAATAACAGAGACTGCTGTTTGATTGGCATACTACTAGACTATTCATATTACACCACTTTCTGAATTAAACATGCAACAGCAACATCATTTGACAACAACCTAATAACAGCTTATTTGGCAGTGTGCACACAGCATTCAGTACAGTAGTATTCAGAATTAGGTGTTATACCTTGTTTAGTGATCTGAAAGGTCTTTTTACTGCATAACACCACAGCCTGCAACATCTCATGCGGCGACACGTGGGCTTTGAAGTTGCGTGGGTTCCAGAGCTTGCGCATGAGCTCCCCAAAGCGCTGCACCAACAGAAACATGATGTCACCCGGCGGCCGGCGGATTCTGCAATAGTTGTCCTCCTCGAGGAAGTAGTTCCGTAGAGGCGGCACGTTTGACAGCGCCTTGGGAAAAAAAAAAAACAAGTGGTGCCATAGTACACTCAAAATAATATTTAGGCCTAAATGTAAGATTCATGTATTTGAATTGCATATCGAATTTTGAACCATTTGGATTACATCGTTTTAACATAAACTGATAAACCTAATGTAATGCATCTCTCGCAGTCAGGTAAGATTTCTGCAATAGTACTATTAAACTAAATGCATAAAAATACAATATAACCAGGTTTATATATTTTTACTATCAATAAATCTAATCTCAATTTCAAATGTATTTGAACTAACACAGCTAGTCATATTTTAATTGTTAATTTTTAACTAAATAAATGTATTTTCATATTGAACAGATCTATGCCAATTTTAAGCAATAGAATAAATGGATTTTGAAAGTGTGATTGTTTAAATAAAATCAAAACTTCAATATTTAATATGCCATGTCTTCTTTGAGTGCGGAAATCTTACCCGTTTCATTTATGTATGAGTCAACCCCCTACATTGCGAGTAAATCACTCGCATATGCGACTAAATCTTCACTCTGGGCGACTAAATGATGTCTAATATTAGCCTCCTGCTAATAAATTCTCAGATTTTACTCGCCAGTGTGTGAGCTGGAGGCTAAGTATAAGTTTAGCACATATATATTTGCACTCACAGTACACTCTGCCTGAGCGCTTCAGAGTTTCACTCTCAGTTAAGCGATCTGTGATATTTTTCAGTTCATCTGAATGGATGCGCAGCGCACCTGTGTTTCGCGTACCGTAAACTCGCACGTAGGGCTGGACGATATGGCCAAAACTGATATCACGATATATTTCTTAATTTCGGTCGATACGATATAATTCCGATATCGATATGAACACTATTTATCTGAAATAGAAATCTTTTGTAACATTATAAATGCCTTTATCATCACTTTTGATAAATTTTAAGCATCCTTGCTAAATAAAAGTATTAATTTCTATAATTTATTTCCCAAAAAAATAATAAAAATTATACTGAATGGAATAGTGTATAATGATACAAAAGCTTTTTATTTCAGATAAATGCTGATCTTTGGATCTCTCTATTCATCAAAGAATCCTGAAAAAAAATTTACTCAACTGTTTTAAATATTGATAATCAGCAAATCAGCATATTAGAATGATTTCTGAAGGATCATGTGACACTGAAGACTGGAGTAATAATGCTGAAAATTTACCTATGTATGATCACAGGAATAAATTACATTTTAAAATCTATTCAAATAGAAAGCAATTTTAAATAGTAAAAATATTTCAACATTTTACTGTTTTTGCTGTACTTTGGATCAAATAAATGCAGCCTTGGTGAGCAGAAGAAAATTCTTAAAAAAATAAAAAAATAAAACAACATTAAAAATCTTACTGTTCAAAAACTTTTGACTGGTAGTGTAGGCTGATTATTCTTATAGATTGAAACAAATGTGCTTCAGCCAGAAAAAAGGGTATGAAAAGTTTGGTTCTACGCCAGAAACACAAACTATCTATAATGCTTACAAGAAAACATCTTAAAATACAATCAGAAGTCGCATCAAGCCACATTTGAAAATTTATGTCCATTAAGTATTCATGTTTTTGCTTAAAACCCACTTTAAACCATCATCGAGTGCTTGTAATAACTTCCGATTGTGATCTATAGTTGATTTTGATTCTGTAATAAGCAGATACATGCACTCTTTGTATGTTTAATAACGCTACACTGCTTATTATCATAAACATCCTTTATTGTTATAAAAATACCATGAGCTGCATACAAAACACATATAGAAAATATATTGTCATAATCATGTCTATTTTCTTTCATATTTCATGTGTAGAAATATATTTCACTCGATTTTTTTTTAAAATATGGAATATCTAGAGTGTTAACACGCTCGGACTCATAACACTCGCACACGTGGAAGAAAACGGACACTCCAGATCACATAATTCAGTGGAGAATTAATAGAAATTATATTAAGAACATGTGAGAATAAATCTGTTCTCAGATACCAAAGATAACAAGAACTCGGTGTCCACTCTCGGAATCGCTTGGAATACTCTTCTTCAGTGTTTGTTTACACTGGTTTTCGAAACAGCACCACCACTCTTCGCCTTTTTGTGCAACAGCAGCTGCTCCGGGCACGTGATCTCAGCTCAAATCTGATTGGACGGCCCGTTGCATCGCGGAGCAACGGTGAAAAAAATCGACACACAGGACAAAAAAAAAAATCTTCGCTTTTTCGCGCTGCGAATGATCGCGCCTGGTGTGAATAGCCCCATAGGGATCTATTGTTTCGATTCAAAAGCGTCATCGCGCCGAATTTTCATGTTCAGTGTGAAAAGCCCTTTAAGCTGTGAGAGGAGAAAGCATTTTAACATAAAAAATAAATAAATACCTGGTTGATCATCTTACCTGCAAAACCACATTAGCATAGTCATTGGCCTTGATATTATTGAGACCCACAATTCCTGGCAGATAGGTAGTGCCATCGTAGGCTCTGTACAGCTTTCCATGCTTATCCAAACCAGCGATGTGCTGTTTGGTGAATGTGGGTTTCAGCACATACTGAAATAAAGAAATGAAGTAGAAAGAATCAGAGACGTTAGTCTTTTACCATCGTTGTTCTATAGCACATGATTTGCTGAGATAAAAGTAAAATGTCATTGCTTTTATCAATGTAATGAGACAAAATAGTAATAATATACTGAATTAAGGAAACCTGTGTCAGAATTTGAATGTACTCACCGTAATGTCCTCTAATGAGGAGTCAATAATCTTATAATTGTCTGGCAGGCAGTAAAACTTTAACGTGTGGAGATTCAGGAAAACATGGTGTGTGAACTGAACACTGTGGATGTACGCGTGAGACTTCTGACCTCGACCTGACAGAAATAAAATACAACACGGAGTAATGTGCTTCTAATTTACACTGATACATAGTCAAACTGAGGCGCATAAGCTCAGATAATATCAAATATATTTGGGTTTTTAATATCAAGTTATACAGACTACACTATAATTGGCTTTTCAAAATGACAATGAAACACACCAGGGACATTTTGTGACACTAACTTACAAAAACTAAGGTTACAAATTTTTAAACAAGGTTACCTGTCACACTTACCTTGGAAATATTTCCCACAGATCAGACAGGCATAGACATTAATGTGTGAGAGAGAGATTGAACAAAGCTTCTCAAAGTCAAAATCCAAAACACTCCTAAGAAAAGACAAGAACAGAGTGAGTTATAGCAGAGGAGCAATAGTGATTAACAATAATAAACACATTCTTAGTCATAATTACCTGTTGATCGTGTCCAGATATGGACAATGGCGGCTTCTTTTATCTTCAAAACCATGAGAACGACCAATTTTCACACGCACCTCTGAAATTAAGCGAAGACCACATGTAAAAACCATGTTGAATCCTGTTTTCAGTTTCAAGTCAATAACATCAAAACATGAAGATCTCTATTCCATTCAGTGAGGATTTCTCAGCTCTGAAAAGGGATATCAACACATTAGGGTGATAATATGTCCGCATTTTCCAGGGACAGTCCCAATTTCTAGTGTTTGTAACCAGAAAAGAGCCCCATTTTAAAGAAGCTTCAAAAAAAGGCCCGCAAATACACTGCAAAAACCCTGACCAACATAGCTTCAAAAAGCAAAAACATAAAATAACAAAAAATTTGAATGGGGAAAAAGTATTTACTGTATACAGTATATACAGCTTGTGAAAATGAAAATATTCTACACAATCAATTTTTTTTAAATATTTAACAAAATGTCACTTAAAGTCACTTTTCTGGTAATATAATAAGGTTTTAATGTCTTTTCGGTTAGCAATGATTACTATTTACTATTTTTCACAGAGTGATTTTTGATGACATTTTTTAAAGCCAGTTAGGTTCAGTTTAACCCGCAAACATCACAATAAATGATTAATTATAATAATATATGGAACCCACAGCATTAAAAAAAAAATTATGTTTCACTTCAATTTTGACAATTGAACTAAGAAAAGGTTTCCATTTTAGAAATCATGACACGCAAAACATATGATACCCAGTATCATATGTATATGAATAGATATTAAACACATCTGACCATCTGTCTTCCTGCGCAAAGCACCTTTCCATCACAGGTGAAAGCATATACTTACGATCTCCTAAACATAAATAGCTTGTTTGGTACTTTTTCTCATTTCTAAGTCGCTTTAGATAAAAGCATCTGCTAAATAAGTTGCATAACAGTAAATGTATTTTAGCAACCAGCGTTAACGTTACGTTGGAAACATGGGCCTCCAGTGTTCTTTAAACGGTATTCTCTAAACTGCTGCTAAACTATCAAGCTCATAAACGCTCCGAACATACCTTCCTCTTCGTCTTCATCAACATCCCTCTCCCGTTTCACGCCGGCGATCATTTTACGTTTAATATCAAGATGATTTCTAGTCAAATCAGTGTTGAATGAACACTTTTCAAACGCCTTCTGCGAGTGTTACAAAACTCCCGCCCTCACTTCCGCTCTAAAAATCGGTGGCCGTGAACACAATAACCCGGGATCGAAGTAAAATAAACCACTGGCTTTGTCGTGTAATGTACTTTCTGGAGTACCAACTACCTATTATAGGATGTATTTCACTTTATAACATCGAAATACGCACTTTGGGTTATAGGAAGAACAATATACAAGCGCAATCGTTTGTAGAAAAAACAAACAACCCCGACAACTAAGAGTGCGTTTTTTATTGGCCAACGTGTTTTGTTTTCGGCCCCAGTTTGGAGAGATGTTGTAAAGAGAATGATTATCATGGTACTAAAAATTGATTTATTTTGAGAAACATTTAATCTACAGAGCAGAGCCATGGAGGTCCTGCATGATGCAGAGGGGGAGAGTGTCAAATACAAGCCCGGCGGGCGCTTGGACATGAGCCACGGCTTCCTGAAGCACATCAGGAGGAATCAGATGGCCAGGTCTCTGCTCACTCTCACGCGCTAACAGTCAGTTGATAGTAAAGTGGCTAGTTATTGTTTACTCAGTACGTTGTTTTGGATCCGCTTCTGCGAAGCCTATTAAAATGTAGTTCGCAAGCTTAACCCTGTAATGCCTGATAAATATTGGTCAGATAAAAATAATTTTAAAAAAATTGGAAATGGAACAGTTTATTGAACCTTTTACAAAACATAGAAGAAAATCAAAAAAAAAAAAAATGTTTACATGTGTTTTTTGTTGAATATCATATTTAATACATCACGATTTTATGGCTCATATAGTATAATATAGTGAGAATATGGAGGGGAAAAACACCTCAGTATTATTCAGAGGCACAAATTTTAAAAAATGCGATTTGTTGCAGATGCTGACATTGATATGATCAAAATATAAGATGAAATTCTGATAGCTTGTAATGTAAGTCAATGAGATCTTTTTAACAAACTACTTGCGTGAAATGCATATGAATATTAGATGTCACTCTATATATTTCAATAATGTGTCGTAATAAGACTATATTTAAATGATTGGTAAACTTATGTCGCTTCAGTCCAATAATGTTTATCCTGAAATATTACTAACAATATAAAAGTTTTTCTTTCGTTTACTTTATAAAAATCAATAAAGATTTCACCGGTGGACCACAAGCTGAAGGAGCACATTTTTACAAATGAATTGCAAAAAAAAGGATAAACTATCTAGTGTTGTCAAACGAATATACATGTAAATATTTTCAAAATATAAACTGTGTGTGTATACACCATAAATATACACAGTACACACACATATATAATGTAAACAAAAACTTTTATTTTGGACGCGATTAATCGTTTGACAGCACTAATACTATCAATCAGATGATGGACGGCGTGTAGTAAATTGTGTACAACAGATTAAATATACATTAATGTTTAATCTTTCTACAGGGATGATTATGACAGAGAGGTAAAACAGGCTAAGGAGAAACAGGAGCGCAGACACACCAACACCCCTCGGCGTCCACGAAGACCTGACCGTCAGGTGTACCACCCACGCCACCAGAGTAAGTTACATAGGTAGAAAGAGTTTCATTTATTATTTCACAATGTAAAGTGATGAGTGGTTTTCAACTGGTTTTGTTTTAGGATCCAGTGAGGAGCAACACAGTGCCAAAACACAGATTTTTGACAAAGTTGGAAATCCAAAGTAGCAGAATTGTAATTTACTTTCCCAAGACATCGTGCAAACACTGGCCTAAGTGTTGTATTAGTATTAGCCTGTTTGTGCCAGAATACTGCCAAATTATGTTTATTTTCACTTTACTTTCCATTTAATGTCAGAACAGACCTGCAAACCACCTGTATGAGAACCACTGCTTTGACAGTACTATTATTTTCACTTGGTAGATTTAATAAATGAAAAATTACACAATTAAAACAAAATATATATTTTAATAAATTATAAGAAATTAACTAATGCATCTGGATAGTAACTAGCTAAATAAGGATTTATAATGGTAGTAATTGTAAATATTATGGGCCAGGTTGGCAAAGGGTTAAATAATCAAAATTAACAAAAAGCTTGACTTGTAGAGATATGTTGAAGTTTGATGTTTGCCACTGTGCTCATGTTTGGATGATTGGTTTTGTTTCAGATGGATCTGAACCCGGTGTGAATGCAGAGGCAGAGGACTGGAATGAGAGCAGCTCTGGCACAGAGCAGGAAAACACTGACACAGAGCTATTCTGGCTCGATTATCAAGCTGACAACGGGCAAATAACATCATTCATTGTTCACAAGGTTTGTATTGGGGTGTATTAAGGTTCTTATGGAAGCCCGTTTCTGCCTGTAATTGCAACTTTTTATCTCACAATTTGGACTTTTTTGCAATTGCAAGTTTGGAATTTTCTATTCAGAATTGTGAGTTTATATCTTGCAATTTTGAGTGGGTTTTTTTGTGTGTATTGTGAAAACAAATTCTGAAATGTGAGACAAACTCAGAATTCAGAATATTTTTTTTGCAATTATGTTTTTTGCAGTTTATATCTTGCAATTCTGAAAAAAAAAATTCTCAGTATTTCTCACTATTTTCTCTGAATTATGAGTTTATATCTTGCTTTTCTGTTTTTCTGTTCATTTCTGCTATTGACTAAAAACTAAAAAGTAATTGTGACTTTTCCTCTCAGAATTACGAGTTTATATCTCTAAATTCTAACTTTACATCTCTAAATTCTATGTTTATATCTCACAATTCTGATATTTCTTATCAGAATTGCAAGAAAAAAAGTCAAAATTGGTAAATCATAAGTTGCAATTACCTTTATTTTTTTATCCCGTGGTGGAAACGGGCTTCCATAAATTCTAATGCATCACAGACTACAAGAATTTTTCAAGCTACATGAGTTCCTATATGAGTTTCCTTCGTATTGGGATGTTTATCTGAGTAAACAGATTATCGGTAAAAGAAAAAAATGTATGGGTGGGGACTTGGTTCTGTCCGTCAATTGATTGGATGGAGGCAAATATATATCATATATATTATATCAAGCTTTATTCGCATACGTGCAGTATAATCACGTAAGGCGATTTTTTTATACTTTTTAACAAAATGTAAGTATCGCCCAGCTCTTTATATGAAGTTGGATATATATGTTCAACTTTATCACCATACATACAGTATACAGATGTAAAGCGATATATACTTTATAGCAAATCTCAGCTACATGTATCATTGCAAAATTAAATTTATATTGTCACCTATCTTAAATCTTCTAAATGCAACTATAAGGCATGAAGATATTAAGCTATTATAAACATTAACAATGATTTTGTGTAAAGCTGCTTTGTAAAGCATTATACAATAAGTTAAGCTTGACTTTTTTTGTTATTGTTAATTGTCATCCTAATGTATGTGATAAAGCAAAAACCAAAAATTTAATATTTTTCCAACCAGGAGGACAAGCCAGAAGTTATTGTGGAGCACGTGGCAGAAAAGAACGCTCTGGACTCGGCCATGAGGGCGGCGCTGTTGGCACGTTTGGGACAAGAAATGGACAAACGCTGTGACAAATGCTGAGAGGAAGAGAGAGACATTTTTAAATAAAAGTGGAGATAAATAAAGTAAATAACAGAGCAAGGCACTGAGACACCGCTGAGACAGAAATGAAACTGAACTGCATTTCTGTATGATGGCACCAAGCATGCAGCATTCACAGATGTCATGGAGATGTCATGTATCCTAATATGTGAAAGTGCAGCTCTTGTAAGAGAGTGGACTCGAACCTCAAGAGAAATGACACTGTTAAGCATGAAATCAATCTTGTTTGATCTAAAATAGTATGTATTTTGGTAATATACAGAAAACAGGACCTGAATTTTTCTTTCAACTGGAAATTGAAATCCTTGTCACTCCTCACTTCACAATTGAGAAAGATGTTGGGCAAATGTTGTGCAGCTTGGTCATGGCGCTTTTTACAACTGAGGTGACTTGCTGGCACTCGTATTTTAATGGGATTTTATAACTGCAAGATGTACATTGCTTCACTAGGTCCCATGAGTCTGTCTCTTATAGGCTTCCAGATAAGAGTGTTTTAAATACAGTTTAGGCTAAATCTCCACAGTAATCAGGTCAAAAATTAAACCAAACATCGAATGCTTCCAGTCTGTTTAGACTAAGAAGGTTTGAAGGAGTCAACTTATTGCTGTGATGTAGATGCTAGTGGAAATAGCTGAGGAAGTTTAAGCAAAGTTAAAGAATACTAATGAGGTCCTCATTGCTCTGATATGTATATCCATGCATTTGGATATCTGCCTTTTCCCTTTATGTTCATAAATATTTATATTGATATACTGATATGAATATAATCTTTTCCTCTGTTGGTGCTCATGATGTTGTGCAAACAAAAAAGGACTGATATGTGTCTCTGTCTCTTTTTTCAGCTCTTCGTTGTACAGGTAGATTTTTATTTTTGTAATTGTATTCCAACTGTGTACTATTGTGTTATTGTAGAGATTACAGCATGAATTCAGATTGCAGGATGAATTGTTCATTCTGTCATACAGACAGATGATGGCAGTGTGCACTATGTTTACATTGTGCAAAAATACATTTTCCTTTAACTGCTTCTGAGTTTCATTCATTGAGCTTGTATTCTTGGTTCTTTTATGCTAGGTACACCAAAATAAGCTCTTAAAATAAAATTTAAGGCAACAGTTATTAGTGATTTTATATATACTGATATATACAGTATATATATTGCTCTTGTTGATTTTGATTGCTTCCATTGTCCTCATTTGTAAGTCACTTTGGATAAAAGCGTTCGCTAAATGACAATGTAAATGTAAATATTATATACAAAATGCAAATATATAGTATATATATTAAATAATAAATATATACACACATTTAATGTTAAAACTGAAATAACATCTGAAATGCTCGCCTCTTAATATAGCATGGTCATGAGAACAATAAATGCCAACTTAAAGGAGACATATCATGCCCCTTTTTACAATATGTTATATAAGCATCTGGTGTCCCCAGAATGTGTCTGTAAAGTTCAGCTCAAAATACTCCACAGATCCTTTATTATATAATTTAGAAAATGCCTATTTTGAGTGGAAGCAGAAACACGCTGTTTTTCTGGCCTGTGTCTTTAAATGCAAATAAGCTGCTGCTCCCCTCCCCCTTTTCCAGAATAGAGCTGCGCCTTTACAGCTCGGAGCTGCTAAAAACATCTGTTTTGGTTCTGATTATCATGTTTATCGCGCTGAAATAATGCGTTTTAAACCATATGAGTTTAAACTTCAGATATATACGGTTTTCTGAGCGCACACATCCGAAGCACACCGACAGAAAGCGGCTGTCACAGCATGTGAGTACTAAACTAAGTTCTCATTCACACAAGTTTACGTTAAAAACACACATGAGTTACAAAAAACAGACGGTTGCGGAAAAAGTCTTACCAAAACAAAGTTACTGGGTTAATCTTTTTCACGTTTCCTTGGTTGGTAGATGCACCGGGGACCTGATTATAGCACTTAAAACCTGGAAAAGTCAGATTTTCATGATATGTCACCTGCTAACCTACCTAAATAGACTAATATAGAAAAGCATCCAAGTGCATACTGGTTCAGACAATATTAGCTTGTTGTTAAAGGAATAACCATCTTAGTGAAATAAAACAGTCATGTAATTCAGTGTCACAAAGTCATTCTCATGATATTGTCACTCGTATATTTATATGGAAGGTGGTTAAGGCCAAAAGTCTTTAAAAGGAGCTTGTGAAGTTTGACCATATCAACACACACTGTTTGTCCACGTAACGTGGAAATTTTGAACACATTTCTTTTTTATGTGTAGACACATATTTTGGCTGTATTAAGACATCAGTTTTCTCTGTGTTTCTTTAGTGTTTAAAGATGCACTGTCGTGGTATAAGCCTGTGACTATACCCAGACTGAGTGCATACATCCATATTATGCACATTCACAGTCTCCACGTTCACCGATCTGTTTTCTGGCACTCACAATCACGTATACATGGATTTGTGTAGCATTTAAATATATTGTGTATTTGATATTCAGGAGTCTTGTTGTTTCATGTCTTCTACATTTCAAGTCTATGTACAGATACATGGTTTACATGCTTAATGTGTGTCAATACAAGTTTTCAGCAGCAGTTTTCAACTGTAAATATAATATTATATCTCTTCATTAATATTAGAAATAACCACATTCTCATGTCCATCAGATTCATATAATTTATTAAGAAGGCAGCGGCTATTTGCAATAGATGTTATTTACACTGTGCAAATAGCAATAGATGCTATTTACACTAAGTGAAAATAGCATATTTTCTTAGCGATAGACGCTATTTACACAACGTGCAACCCAGCAAACACATTTACGTTGTGGCAATGTCTGTGCAACATTCCATTTTTACAAAGGCAACGTCGCCGTCCACGTGCTCGCAACATTGTAACAATGTTGAAATGTAAGACGCGAAAGGGCTGTAGAAACTAGCATTTTAGACCAAACCAGATCACATACACTCTGTATATATGAATTATCAACTATTCTGTTCATTCAGTTTATTAACAGAACAAATTACTGTCACATTAGATGGAAAGTTTGTTTGAATATTTACGTAGACTATCTTATTCAGCTAGGAGAAATAAAAAGCAATACTCACGTATCCTCGCTCGATGAAGAATGAGATGGCCCAACAACGGTCGGTTGAAATTTAAAAGGCTGATATTCGATGATGACGAGTACATGTTGTACAGTGGTTGTCCAGGCAGCCTAAGCTCAACTTTAAGCAACGGCCCTGAACTATGGTTAAATGGCAACATTGTGACGCCGTTGTAACAACCTTCACCAACAACGTAGAACCCTCCAAATTTTAGCAATGTTGGTACAATGTTGTTATAAGGTTGCTACGTTGAGGCAACGTTCTGTGTTTATTGGGAAATAGCAATGGATGCTATTTACACAAAGCGCAAATAGCAATGGATTCTATTTACACTAAGTGAAAATAGCAGTATTTATAACAATATGCTATTTACACTAAGTGCAAATAGCTATAGATTCTATTTACACTGTTAAAATAGCAGGAATTTCTGCTATTTATACTATTTATTGCAAATAGTGTAAATTATCTACACCTTAGTATTGTAGTACATTATAAAACAGTACACAATAATAATGTATTGAGTGTAAATTGACACCTATTGGGACAATAAAGCCCTCCATATACCTACCCCATCCCTACCCGATACTTTATTTTCAATGTTTTATTTCCTTCATTTTTTCACAGTTAAAAAACCTGATAGACTTATATAGTGTATTCGCGCTGTTTGAGCTATGCATTCATGTTTTGTGTGACCTCACCGAATGTTCCATCTGTTGTATCTATAAAAAAAAATGTTTGTTTGTTGAATTATTTGTTTTTGATGTTTATGTGCTATGAAAATATATATTTATGTTTTATTTTTATTTATTATTGTTACATATGTGTGCATGTAAAGAATTCTTACCTGTAAAATGGTATGATCCAGGGGGAGGAGTCAAGTCTATAAAATGGCTCCAGAACCCTAGTTCAGCTGTGGTGGGTAGTACGTGTGGTTGGTGGTACATGCAAATCAGATCAATTGATATGGCTGATCTTAATTTCACTAAAGGATATTGTAAATGTTATACAGTTTATTTTATTTCTATTGCACTTTTATTGTTGGACTTTCACAGTGTGGCACAAACAAATCACTCTTTAACCTTTATCAGCGGTTTCCCTCATCACTTCTGGCCTCCATCCACCAATGCAATCCTAACACGCACAGTTTTACCATTTTAAGACAACAAGTTTGAGCTTGTCTCCCAACTGGCGCACATTCTGGCTGCGTTTGAACATGTAATACTTTTTAAAGAAAATGTACCTCTAGATTTACCCACATATTAATCATTTCTTTAGTTTATTTTAGCATTGCTTTACTGTTATATTGTTATACTGTCTATTGTGCTAGAGTAAATTAATTAACGTAACAATATAAATTAAGACTTTTCGACCGGAGAAAGAATGTTAAACTAAACAACTCAAATACTGCAATTCATTGGCTACTGTGCATGTTCCTGTGTTAACGCAGACAAGCAGTGCATGTTGACAGTCAAATTTCCATTTAAAGACTTTTGGCCCTATCTGCCTTCCATATATTAAAGCTACACTATGTAACGTTTGGCCCTCTAGTGGTTAAAAAATAAATGCATTCATTGTGCAGATGAATGTTCGCTTCTGCTCCTTTGCGTGGATGAATGTGGTTCGAGGTACCGGTGTACACATGTATACAGATGGAGGCATAAATAACATTTTTTTTGTTTTTACTTTTTTCTTGTTCATTGAGACAACAAAACTTAGCGCTATACCCAAAGTCAAAGCTACATTTCTCTGTGTACAGATATGACTTCATGTCACGTCATGTCATGTCACATGTCACCTTTATTTTTATAGTGCTTTTAACAATACAGATTGTGTCAAAGCAACTTTACAGTATTAAATAGGAAAATAGTGTGTCAATAATAATAAGGACAATAGTAAACACTCAATTTTCAGTTAAAGGCCGTTCATCGTTGAATTCAGTGATGTCATCATCCAGCTCAGTATCGTCGACGTGACATGCATGAGTAAATAGTTTCCCGTGAAATCCGTCCCGACAGCTCTAAAATATAAATCATTATAGGTCAAGCAAAGTATATTTAGGGAAAATTATGACTTTACGCAAATACAATTTGATAGAACTATAGCCTAATGATTTATATTTTAGAGCTGTCGGGACGGTTTTTGTGAGATTTTTTTCTTTAATTAACAACATTTGTTTTTTTTTTAAACAAACAAAAGTTACATAATGTAATGTTACAATATGTCAGGGAGTGGCAGCCCTGATTAGCAGGTACCGACTTGTATTTCAGTTGCTGTGTGATCAGTTATGTATATATTGGCAACTTGACAACAGTTTTGAATGTCTCATCTCATCCAATCAGATTTTAGAGCTAGAGGGATCTATTTTATAGAATACAGTTTCCCGCACCAAATTGTTAGTTATAAAACTATGGTACTTCATCATTTGTTTTTAATGCAAAGATTACATACGAGTATTCCACAGGAGGGGCCATTACCACAGGAATTAGAGGCCCTTCAAGGGAGTGATGCTATGGCACTGGATCAACCCCCCCCCCCTCCACAGAGTGTGCTCGCCCCTTGTGTGAGAGAAGATAAATGTACACATTCCCATGCATCCAAGCTCCGCCCACAGACCTCACCCGTCTCTCCACGTCCTGATTGGATGCTCAGAGACCAAAGACAGCTAGGAGTCTGACACACACCCCTGCACGTGTCTCCACGTCGTGATTTTGCTGGATTTCAATAGTAAATGTGACGTTGCCCTCTTCTTTAGCATATTTTATATGTACATATTATATTTTTGCAGTTAAATTGTTGCATAAAAAAATTTGTTTTGATTTTTAAATCTAATTCTAAACAAAAATCTAAAAAAATGAATAAAAACTATTTTTAGGATATAGTATTCATAGATATGTAATAATAGTACTAAATGCATATTGTAGTTGCATT